TGTGTTGTGTGTGTGTGTGTGTGTGTGTGTGCGCGCGCGCGCGCGCGCGCGCGCGTGTGTGTGTATGTGTGTAAACATTGAATCTATGTTAATTATCTTACTGGAAGAGAGAATATATTCAGAACTTCTTCATATAACTCTGATGACAAATCTGCAATTTTCTGATTAGATTTCACTATGTTATTCCATTTTGTAGCATAATCTTCTTGAACTTTTATAGCATTTCTCAAAGTTTCCAATTCTTTTTGCATATTATTTGCTTTGGTTGATTTTGTTAATAAAAATTTTTCCAATATATTCCATTCTCCTTTAGAATGGCATTTATCACATAAAAAATATCCTGTAATAAACAAGTATATTTGTATAAGATACAATTATTTTATCAATTTCTTTATGTACCTTCTATCAAATATGTTCTATACATTTTATTATTTTATACATTTTGGTTTACCTGTTGTTTTATTAATATAAATATTTGCCTTTTTAGATTTTTCAGAATCACATATAGGACACTCAGTGACTAGACATGCATGTCCATCAATGGTATTAATATTCTTTTGCTTCAGTACTTGTTTTATGTGAAATAATGAGATCCCAGGTACTGGATCATTTATAATGCTACTATTAGAATATAAACGACGATAAAACATCCAAAATCTGTCATATCTTTCTGGAGTTAAAGAACGTATCAATAATTTTGAAGACATTTTTCTTGTCTAATTGAAGCGTCAACATTGAAGTTATAGATTCGATAGCATTGAAATCATTTTGATCAGTAATAAAAGTTAATATCTCATCACTGGAGCTGTAAAGAATTTTATTTGTATAATTATTTTCAATTATAATCAATATAGACTGCTTTCCTTCAGGAAATGCAGTCGACATAAACATCGTTTTATATTTTTCTTTTCATGAATAATACAGATAGAATAACATTCGTGTCGATTTGTTTCCTGAGAGAAGTAAGTATAAATTTTTGCATTTTCATGTATAAAATATATTTAATAGAAGAAAAATTATTAGAAAACTCAAGTTACATTTTTTATATTTCGAAGTTTTTTGATGTTTACATAAAAAGAATAAGGTAAATATAAATTTTGAAACACAAAACTACTATAATTTAAATTATACAAAAAAATAATTTGCTTTTAATTAATTAAAGCAAAGAATATGTAGAGTGAGCAGAGAATTATCATAAATCATTTAAAAAATTATTTTCTGACTTAACTAAAAAAACTTTGAAACAAAAACAGTATAAAAAAAGTATAAAGAAACAAAAGTGACACTTGAACAATTTTTCTTTTCAGAATCTATTCTGAACGCAATAAAATACAAATTTACATAATAACAGGAAAATCAGAAGAGAAAGCGTTATATTAAGCATTTAACCGATTTTTTTAAATCGTATCATTATTGACATTATCAACATCACTAAAACAAATCTCTTAAGAGATCTTTTAGGATGTTTCAGAACAAATGGTCTTTATTCTTTATATTTGTTTTATTGATGTTGATATTGTCAATCCGTAATAATGGAAAACCGGCGTATAGAGCACGTGATCACAAAATAAAACCAACACCAGGAGGGTGCGTTCCAAAACTTAATTCTGGCTGTGGTCAAAGTCTCGCTACAAATACTTTGAAGCATTTGATGGACCAATTAGAAGAAAGAATTTTACAAACTGACCAATTAAAATATGCTTCAAAGCATTTGCAGTATGACCATACCCGCTGTACACCCTCAACTCCGAGTATTCTTTATTTTTATTTAATTTAGTGACCAACAAAGATAAAATAATACTCGAGTTGACAGAGTTGAATTTTGGAACGCAACCCACAGGATTGAATATAAGATCTGACTATGAATACCGGCTATAGAGACCCTCTAATCAGAATCTAGCATCGATATTTAGGCCGATATTCATACGGCTCCTGCACACAGAAACACGGTAACACTTGCCGTACGGCGAAGTTGACGTGAGCCATCAACGCTTTCTCGCTTGCTCGGAAGTAAAGCCAGTTCTACATTAGTTGCAAGTCGATCGTAAATTTGTTGCAACAACCAATCTGAAGCTTGCATTTTGAAATCAAACTTGCGAGCTTCAGCTTGCAGTTAATGCAGAACCGGCTTAATAGATGTGTAATTTTCACCGCGCCACAAAAGTTGAACTCAATCCAACTTTTGCCGCGCGGCGGAAGAAATATTACATCATTTTTAGAAGTTTATATGGTGAGGCCGACTTAAGAACATAGAATTATTAATTAGTGCGATAACTTCCGCGCGGTAAGCGTTGACGCGTTCAATGTGCAGAGAGAAGCCTAAGAACGACCATATTCGAGATTTAGCTGTTACTTTATTTTGAAGTGCTTCTATGTCCATAAAATGTGGACATTGAACTATGCAATCAATGTCCACAATCCGGTCGGTAATGTCGACGATTATTTAATTGTATTCTTCGCTATATCCACGAATTTCAATCCATTAGATAACAAAACTGTAAGTTGTCTAACAAGACTTAGAGCCGGTTGTTCCATCTTTTGGTAAATTTTATCTGTTGTGTAAGTAACAAGACCCAATCACATGCGCGAATTATCAAATTTACCTCATAGATAAAATTTATCAAAAGATGAAACAACCGGCCCTTATTACAAGCCCCGATAGATTGATTGTTCGTCTGTCTATCTAACGGACTGAAATTCATGGATATAGCGAAAAATATAACCAAAAAATTGTGGACATTCAATTGAATCATGGATATTGGCTACATAGTTCAATGTTCACATTTTGTAGACATTTTGTAGAGGCCCTTCAAACTAAAGTAACAGCTAAACCCAGCCAGGCATGGCCGCTAAAAGTCTATAGATTATCTATCTATATAGTCTGCGATTGTATTCTCTGATAAAACATAACCTTTTACGCGTGTTGTGCACGTGTAATTTTATTTATTGTTTATTCTACATTTAGTATTGATCAAATCGCCGGTACGTACAAAGCAAAAATATTGTTAAACCAACATTTCTGATTACTTATTGATTACTTAATTCAGATTGTTTATGTTACGAAGTAAAGTTTTTATATTATTTTTCTTTTTATATATATAGGTCATTTAATATGATATATAAAAGGAATTAAAGTCACATTTATCATATTCATCCGAAAATATTTCAGAAAAAAAGTACATTATTTAATTATATATATTGCAATGACAAATCAACGGCTTTCGTGTGGATTGGATTTGTGCTGTGCTGTAAATTTAAATGATTGTTTAATTTATGCATCTGAATCAAGGTAAATTGTTATTACATGTTTAAATGTCATGCTTTTTACTTATCTTTATTTATTGTAATTTGCATATGTACATTATTATTTTTATTCATGATTTCAGGTATGATTTTATTTGTGTCTCCTTGGTTCATCCTTTATTTAAAAGAGAATTTATTTCTGGATCTGCCAAAAATCGTCCAGGACCACTCACTAGGCCTGATTTAATTTTAAACAGTTCAGGTATAAATTAAATATATATTTATAATATATATACTTATATTTTATTAATTATATTAGTAGTCAGCATTAGATAACTTTAAGTTACATTTTTATATTGATGTTCTCTTCTTATCCTTGTTCCAGGAACAATGATATCAGGTCTGTTTTTTTATTGCTACACTCTGAACCGATGCAATAAGTTGAAGTGAAACAAATGTATATTTCAAACATGTTTTATTTATTGTATGCACTGTGTATATCAGTTCAGAAAGTGTAGCAATAAAAAATAGACTTATCATATGATAGAATTGTATCTTCTGCTGTTATAAAATTTTTTTGTTATAAGCTTCTGAGATAAGTATCACAGATTTTATTATTAATTCATTTTCAAGATATGAATGGCAAATAAGGGATAATGAACATACACATTATCTGACATAAAAATCTGACCAAAAGTATTGTATCTAAAGCTGATCACTGAATTATATCAATAATTTTAAAAAATAAATTAATAAAATCAAATTTAAATAGAATCAATAATATTACATTGCAGATTGGAATAATAGAATAATTGCGAAGTTTTCATCACTTATCAATGTTGACTCGACCAATCCAATTATTAGAAAAAATAGCGAAGAGACTTTGAATCAGGAATTAGGCTTAGCTAGCCATTTTGGTTTGTCGGGAGTGACTTTAAAATTAAAATACGGGATAAACAAAAATGTGAATCTTGCAAGGATCATTTCTGATAAAATATCAAATCACAATTGTACTTTCCAGGTAGCACATATATATACATATATGCATACACATTAAATTATAATTTATAGTTTTAATTTTTTAATTAGAAGATATGTGTGATTAATACTCAATATACTTTTAAAAATAAATATTTTGAAACAAAGATAATGTTATTTATGTTGAACAACAAGGAAATATATTTACCGATATAAAATCTATAAACTGTAGAATTAGTACAGTTAAATTAATACAGTTTTTTAAATTATGAAAACATATTAATTATTATAGGTATGGATACAAGTTCCTATGGAGAATCCAATTAGACAAACCTATTCTTATAGAACAGAAGATTATCCGGAAGACGAGAATCCATGGGAATGGTGGAATTCTTTTAGAGTAATATGTGATTATAATAAAAAATTAGGAGTTTCATTAATTGTCAGTCATGATTTGCCTGAAGAAGAAGAGGTAGTTTAAATTAAATTTGCAAATTAAAATTGTGCAATATGAATGTATATGTATAAACCAATTTAAATTTAAAAGATTGATAGGTGGCTCGGAGAACCAGTGAGATGTTTAATTTTGCCAACAACGTTATTTCTAACTAATAAAAAGGGATATCCAGTACTAAGTAAAGCACATCAAGCATTAGTAAGAAGATTTGCTGTCCAAGAAGTACAATTTATTTTAACAGGGGCCTCACGTTATCAAAGTGTTAGTTATTATCATAACTATCTTGATTATTTATGGAAGGTAAAATTAAAAAAGTTTTCTAAAAATAAATACTTAATTTTGTAGAATATACAAAATAATATCATTTTTTAAGGGATGTCAAAATGATGGAACGGTGGAAAAATTTGCTCGAGGATATGAGGACTATCTGCAATGTCCATTACAGCCTCTAATGGATAATCTCGAATCACAAACTTATGAAATATTTGAGAAGGATCCCATAAAATATCGAGAATATCAAAGTGCTATATACGAAGCTATAAATGCGATAGTATATAAAATGCAAGAGGAAAGAACGATGTAATCGTCGAATCATATTAATTAATAAAAATAATATCTTTAGAAAAATGTATAACAAGATTATAAATTTTTAGAATCATTATGGTAGTTGGTGCTGGAAGAGGACCGCTTGTAACCGCATCTCTGAATGCCGCGAAAATGGCATATCGGGAAGTAAAGATATATGCAGTGGAGAAGAATCCTAATGCCATAATAACGTGAGACCATTTTAAAATAACAATTATATTGGATTGGATAAAAAAATCTTTGTTTTTTAAAATATTTTAAAATTTCTTCTTTATTAAATGGTAATATAATTAAATTTGATAAGAAAAAAAGCTAATAAAGCTAAAAGTAAAATGAAAGAATCGATATTTTGTTTAATAAAGAAACAATTTTATCCTTATTTATTTTAATTTTTATTTATTTTAAAATGAATTAGAGAAGACTTTTTATCCAATAATTTCAATCAAATTTTAAATAATCGTGAATTACATGTGTTCATTATTTCATTCTATGTTTATAGTTTACAAGCCCTTCAAAGAGATATGTGGAAAGAAAAAGTTACAGTGATATCATGCGATATGAGAGAATGGAATCCTCCGGACAAAGCTGATATAATTGTGTCTGAATTACTCGGATCCTTTGGTGATAACGAATTGTCACCAGAATGTCTAGATAATGTCCTTAAGTTCTTAAGAGGTTTGCATTACATGCAACATTACGTAAATGATGTTAATCTTGCATTAATAGTATTAATTTTTTCTTTAACTACTTGTTTGAAATTTTTATCAGATGACGGAATTAACATACCACAATCATACACTTCATACATAGCTCCTATGCAATCCTCTAAATTGTACAATGAAGTGCGACAACTTAGAGATAAGGACAAACATCCGTTAGCTCATTTTGAAACTCTATACGTAGTACATCTTCAAAATAAATACGATATAGCAAATCCGAAACCACTTTTTACATTCAAACATCCAAATACAGGTTTGTACAAAATATCCAATATTTTAATTATTTTATATTTTAATTATTTTAATTTCTTTACATGTTTGTATTTTTTTAGACGCTCTTGCTGACAATTCGAGATATGAAATCAAGACTTTTCAAGTAGAACAAAATTGTGTATTACATGGATTTTCAGGATACTTCACAGCAGTTTTATATGAAAACATCACATTAAGCATAGAACCTAGCACATACAGCTCAGATATGTTTAGTTGGTTTCCAATCTTTTTTCCACTTAAGGTACGTGAAATAATTTTTATTCTTTAAAGTAAATATTCTTGCAAAATATAAGTTTTGTGGTAGATAAAAAAAATATTTATCGATACACAGGAACCAGTACAATTAAAAGCAGGAGATGAAATAGTGGTTCATTTCTGGCGCAGATGTGGTTCTAAGAAAGTATGGTATGAATGGTGTCTCAGTAAACCCATACCAGTCTCAATCCACAATATAACTGGACGCTCTTCCGTTATCGGATTATAACGTAACGACTTGTGTATTATGACTTGTTCATTTAATGTTCCGATATACGATATATATATCAGACTATTAAATATTAACTATTAGATTTATAATTAAATTTTTTGTCGAATGTGGACAGTATTACGTATTCGAATATTTTAGCATTAATTTTATTTCAAATGTGTCAAATTGTTAAAATAATATTAATATACTAAATTTCAATTTTAAATAAATTTGATGTAATATAGGAACCGGGATACTATCGTATCTCCAGATATGAATCTTTTTATTTACTTTTTTTTTATGAACAGCAAATATTTCTGAGATAATTATTTATTTCAGAATATTATTCAACTGTTTATTCCACTTACGCTTCAAAGATATTGTACTCAAATATCCTTATATTTCCTTCTATTTTTTATAAAAAATAAAAGGAAATGCATTCGTACATATAAAAGATATATAAAGATATATAATATGATATGTGAATATTTTCTTCATTGCAAACGATTTTTTATGTACAATATATAACTATCTTAATATGACGCCGATATCTAAGGTCACTGATATTCAGTGAGGTCATTGATACTGTAGAATTTTGATAACATGTATTACGAAATGTTCTCAAAGCGTGTTATTACTGTTCCCTTAAACTCACGTGCTTCGAAAAATATTTATATCTATATAATTATATCTAAATTCTACATCTTATAAGATTGAGCTTAATTCACATGTTCATATAATAATAATCTTGAATAAGAATTTTCTAAAATTTAATAATTTTATAAAATTCTATAAAATTACATATTTCATCTAATTCTACATATTTACTTTATAATGAATTTTTACTTATTGACAAAACACTTCAAATCTTTTATAAGATTACTTAGAATTGTTGAACAAAAGAAATTATAATTCTATCAAACTACATATTATGCATGTAAACCAAGCTGCTTTACTTGATTTTGCTTGATTTTTATCTCATTTTTACAATCTCAGGTGGTAATAGTATTAATATTTAGTAAGTGAACAATCTTAAAAATGAAACATTCTTGCGTAATTTTTTTATTTTGGCAATATATCTACAATAATTAGATCTTTTTAAATCAAAATAATAAAGATTTTGTCACGGATTGAAAAAAAACCCTTTTGTTTTTATTATAGCCTTACATATTTCTATGAATTAATTTTTTAAATGTATTTAATATTTTTCTTAAACACTTTGAAGATTCCGTCCGTGGTATAATTTGTGGCCCCACTTTTCTTCACTCATCACCCAAGAAAATATTTAATGAAAAATTATTAAAAATAAAACGAAAATGAAGGATTCTAATTAATAACAATTATAATGAAATAAGTTTACGGCTATCTGTTTGAGCCATCATCAGAAATACAATAAATCAAATTATACTTGAAATTCATCTTCTTAGAATATAACATTTTTTGATAAGCTGTTTCCAGAATAATAATTATAGCTCTTCACATGTGAACGTGAGACGAATTTCAACTGTAATTTGATTTATTATATTTCTGATGATGGTTCAAACAGGTAGCCACAACATGTAAAAACTTCGATTTTAATAGAGTAAGATTGAATATCAAATTCATGTAATTTCTTTAAAATATATAAAATAAGTTCACACACCAAGTGCTGCGGTTGGCTCTTCTAAGTTACCCTGTAACTTATTTCATTATAATTTAATAAAAAAATTTTAAGTTTTTCAGGCACAATGTCAAATCAAAACAATACTTTTATTATTTTACAACTTTTATTACTTTACAAGGAAGGATTAAAGCGCTCATTTATTTTAATAACGATATAATTAAAAAGTTCTCATTTTTTTTCAATTGCAAAAAAAGAAACGTAAAGAAAATTTAAAAAGATATTTTATTCCTCTGTATATAATTTTATTTTTCTGTAATTATTACATCAAAATTACATTTCAAAATTAACATTACAAAATTTTAATAGCTTTAGATATTCAAATTTAATTTCTAGAAAACTTCATTTTTTGTTGTGCAAATGAGCAAAATTATGTCTCAAAATAATAAAATTACGCAAGAATTAATTTTATTTTTGAAGATATTCAGAAATCTTTTATGGTAATGCATATAAATAATAAAAGAAAACTCTATAACAATAACATGGTAATATTTTTGATTATTATGTAATGAAATGAAAGCTATTTTAATATCTAATTTGAATGTAATTATGCAAGATGCAATCAATTTGATCTCTCCCTTTTTTTTTTTTTTTTTTTTTTAATATATCTAGAATAATGTAGATATTCTATGTACATCTACCTAATGTACAAAATTTAGCTGCAGATTATAATGCAATAAATGCTTTTATTTTATCAAAATTTCAACATGTGATTAGTGTTGTGTTTATTTTTTGCAAGTCGAAAAATTGTACGAAATTGTCTTTATATTATTTGATCATGTGTAATCGGAGCAAATTATATAGTATTAAATTTTGAATCTGTCTAATTTACAATCTATATATGTCATTCCTTTTTATTTCTTTCTAATTTTCAACGACTCAATCATTCAAGATATCATTCTTATAATTTAATAAGTAACACGACATTCGCTGTTGACGATTCTGATTGATAACAGAAATATGAAACTAATATATAAAAACTAACTCGCGGTTGCTCAAGACTGAAGGTCATATGCTATTTGTGTTGCAATTGTACTCGCGATAGTTCTTATGTACGTAATCAGCATTTATATATTTCGAATAGAGAAAAACAGAAAGCTAAGATTTAAAAAAAATGTATTTTTGATAATTTTGAGATTCGAACGTGTTATCCATGGTACATCCTGTGCTTGATCATGTTGACTCGTTCGAATTTAGTTCAATTAAATTTCTGAGATGAGATAAGAGAGGAGCCGATAATGATAGAAAAGTGCTGAGACTGGATTGTAATCTTGTCTTTCATTATTCGACCAAGAATATCAATCGGCTCCGTTTTGCTCTCACTGCCGGTTACATTCGCGCGTGCGGCCTTATCTTCATAAAGTGAAAAAAAATAGAGGTTAGGACAGTTCGTGCGCGTTGCTCTGCACGGCGATCGCGACGGCGAAGGAAAAATGGCAAGATTGATCACCCAGATTAGCAGGTGCGTGATAAAAACTGTCTCGCACGATTTGCTCTATACAACTGCGAAGTCGAAGATAGCCCTTGTCATAATGCGATCCATAACCACAACTCAGTATTTGAGAGATGGTAAGTGAGAATGAGCCACGCTGGCTTGGCTTTTTAAAAAGCGTCAGTATGTATTTACTAAAACTATTTGTAGTACCAAAGAAACGATTTCATCGCCGAGTACTGTCTATTGTTTTCTTCGCTTCTTGTCTTGTTTATAAGTTTATAATTATTGATATTAATGAAGGCTCGTGAGAAATTCATGTGATTTGTAAACACATGCGCGCGCGCGCGTCGCATAATTGAATGAATTGTGTATGATATGTATGTATAAATTGATATTACATAAATTGTGTAAAAATAATTTTATATATATTTGTGTGTGTGTGTGTGTGTGTGTGTGTGAGATAATTTATATAAATTTATATATATATATATATATATATGAAATTTTATATATAATATATAAATATTTGTTGTAATTAAAATAATAGAACGAATTCGATCAAAGTTCGATTAACTTAATCTCAACACGAATAAAAAACATTTTATATTTATGTTAAAACCAATCCTTGTTAAATGTGTTGTGTTAAATTGATAATTAGTTTTTACTGTTAAAATAATACAATTTATGAATAAGTGAATAAGTAACAAAAATATAATTTTAAAACATAAATTTTAAGATAAATAGATAAAAGATGGATATGCATGTTAATTTAACATATTTAAAATTTATATATTTAAATTTACCAAATTATAAATGCTAATATTGTTGAAGAAATATGTTTCCATAATTTGCTTCCAATTTATGTCAGATGTTACATTTTTGTGTTAATTTTTGCATAATGTTTGGTTATTTTTTAATATATTCACTTTGTATTTATTAAATTAGCATAAAAGTTAGGTGAACCGAACATGTGAAGTATGTTAATTTAATACAATTTTTTCAACTATGAACGATTGAACCGCCGGAATTAACATCAAAAGCAATTCCTGACATTATTAAGTCTCATAAGACTCATTTAATTTATGTTGACTGAAAGACAATTAAACATTAATTAATAAAAACATTAATTAATTTCAAAAAGTCAAAATGACATACTTGAATAAAAGAATGAGTGCATGTATAAATTTATTTTAATAAGAATAATCGAAATTTTTACAGATACAGATAACATAAAGAAAATATAATTAAATAAATAGACTTATCAAGTCCATCATCAAAAGAATTCATTCGATTGGTAGAATTATTGTTCTTAATTTCACTCTTTTCAATATATATTTCGACATTATTTTTTTTCGAACAAAAAATTGATAGTTATTCATGTTAACAAAATAATTCAGATATTATTACTTGATAAGTTAATTCAATTCACTTCGATCAAGTTAGTTCGAAAAAAGTTTGACCGAAGTCCAAGAATTAATGTTTTATTATATTTTTTTATTTTTTCGGTACAAATGCTTTTATTGTACAATTTAAATATATTACATTATAAATCTTGTATGCAGCTCCATTGAAAATAAATCGAATCACAGTTACAAGATAAACGCATGATTTTTCAGAACGATGGTACACTGATAAACACGAATGGGTAACAGTAGATGGCAAAATCGGCACAGTCGGTATATCGGATTACGCGCAGGATGCTCTCGGAGATGTGGTGTACGCGCAACTTCCCGATGTAGGATCGGCAATCAAGAAAAATGGTAGTTGATATGACATTTTTTTACCTAGCGCAACCAAATTTCGGAAAAATTTCAGAAATTGAAAAGATTATCTCTAGAAACATAAACTGAAATGTCTCTTGAAAAAAAGACTATCCATTCTTCTATAACTTTGGAATGTTTAATACATTTTTCCTTATTTTTAAAAATTTATTTTAACACGAAATTTTAAGATGTACAATCGAGAAAAGAAAATTAAACAATAGAAGTCAAAGCTATTGATATAAACTTAATTATTATTAGTTTAAGCTTTGGCTTATCTAATTTTTTGCTATACTTACATTTAGTTGTAATTTACGACATTAATTTAAAATTTAGACTGGAAATATATTCGAAATGTTTTTCACAGATTAACTATGATTTTTTTAGAGGAATGTGGAGCTCTAGAATCAGTGAAGGCAGCTTCAGAATTGACAAGTCCGGTCAGTGGGAGAGTCACAGCGAAAAATGAGGCAGTTGAAAGTAAACCCGGGTTAATTAATAAATCTTGTTACAAAGACGGTTGGCTATTCAAAGTAGAGTTAAACAACTCAGACGAGCTCAAGAACTTAATGAATGAAGAGGCTTATAATGTGTTTTTGAAATCAGACGCGCATTAAATCTAGAAATCTAATGCCAGAAAATTTTCTTCAAAGTAGAACTTGAAGCAAATTGCGGTAATTTCAAGAATTATATTCTTTTGCTTTTGAAGATTCAATATTTTTATGAACTTATTGAAACAAATATAAAAGACGTTTTACTTAATTATTCATACAATATAATGATCACGCATGATTTAATTAAAACTTGAATAGAAATTGTTGCGTGTACTACTTGCTATAGATAGTAAAATGATATAGTATGTGACAGATTTTTGCCTTATTGTTTATTACCTCAACAATGATTTATATAAAATTTAAAATGCTGCATATTTATTAGAAATATATCATTATGCTTATGCTAGAAAAGAATGTTAAATTTGCACCTGGTTAAATTAAGAGTAATCACACTGGAATTACATATCTATCACTTCAGTAGTTTTATAAGTGATAGAAATGTTAATTTATGAAAAAGTTAGTGTAGTGAACAAGCAAGCTTTCAATGTTTTTCTAATACAATATGATCTTAATTCATGTTAAATGATGCAAAAAATTATTTACTGTAAAATCGAAACAAGTTATATGTTACAAGTTAATACATTACAAAAATATACAAAAAATAATTCAATGCAGAGATGTTGTGTTTTTACATAAGTCAAAAATTAGAATTGATTGCGATAATTGCAATATTTTTATTAGTCACTGTGCAACGTTCTTAATTTTATATTTATACAAAGCAAACATATTATAATATATATA